GATTCCAAAAGTTTTCGAAGGATTTATTTGGCTTTAAAGCATTGAGAGATGGTTTTCCTTTTTAAAGGGTTATAGGAGGATTATGGGTTTAGATGGTTGCTTTCTTAAATGACTTCTTAAGAGCTTCTAGTGACTATGGAGAGGGATACAAACAACCAAATGTTTCCTCTTTATTAGGCTATTATAATTAAAAAAAAAAAACATGAAAGTAGTTCTTGCTTCATGTTATAATTGATTTAAATATTTTAATGAGTTTGGAACGTGGGTGGACCTTCATCTTAGATTTTCATTATGTGATGTATTACTTTAAATCTTTTATTTATCTAACTCGTTAATTTAATTTGACTAGTTAATTTGAGTTTTAATTTTATTTATTTATCATAACTATTAATTCAATTTGACTAAGTTTGTTTGTTTTTAGATATTTTTATATAGAGCATATTTGGTACTTATAGCTTAGTTGTTTTACGGTGTAAAATATAAAAAATATACTAGACACATCCTTTTTAATTGTAAAAAGACCCATAAAAAAAAGAACTTTACAAGTTATTTTGAAAAAATTGAAAAGACACCACACTCCAAGACTTAGAAAAATATTTGAAATTGTTGGAGAGGATTAAGCCTAATGCAACATGAGATGTTGGAAAGATTCCAGTTGATAAGTGGTGTAGGGCTTATTTCAAACTTGATGTCAAGTGTGATGTGGTAGATTATAACATGTATGAAACATTTAATGGATTTACAATTGAAAGTAGGTTTAAAAGTATTGTGTTATTAGAGAAAATTAAAATATATGTTGTGGATATGATAATTTCGATAAGATTTATTGTTGAGAGGAAGTTTAAGGGTCCATTTGGACCTAAAATTTGAGAAGTAATTGAGAAAAATAGAAAAATAAGTGATGATCTTAGGATGTTCTAAAATGGGAGTAAAGTTTGGGAGGTAATCTAGATATGTAAGGATGATAGATTTATTATGAACACAAAACATAAGATGTGCACTTGTAGGAGGTGTGATATATTTGATATCCATTGTAAGCATGTATTTATTATAATTAAATTGAAAAGATGGAGAGTTGAAGACTATGTTTATGAGTGGTACTCAAAAGATAGGTTTCTAAATTTTTATCGGTATTTCATTAAACTTGTCAATGAAGAAAAGTTTTGCCCAATAACTGGATTACCACCCATTTATCGTCCTACCGTTGTTAAGATGCTTGAAAGAAGAAAAAAAAAAAAGGAGGATAAGAGAAAAATAAGAAGACAATTATGATAGTACTAATTTGTCCAAGAAATAGAGGAAAATGATATGCTATATGTGTTTTAAATAAGGTCATAACGAGTAAGATGTATCCTAAAAATCTCAATAAAAAGATATGAATATTTATGATTATATACTTTTATGTTTTTGTTTAACATTGTATAATCCTTTGATTTGATAATAATAAAAAATATCTATTTTATTTTAGGGTATTTCAATTGCAAGTATAAAACCGGAATGTAGATGTTGAGATGCGCAACTTATGAGTGAAAAAGGAAAAGTAATTGGTTTATGTCTATGATAATTAAATGATTTTTGACATTTTTTTAGATTACAATTATTCATTTATGTTATGTTATATTAGGAAATACAAACTACCGATGACACTTTTGTCCACACGAGAGAAATTGCTTTTAATTTGTTAAATAAGACATATGTTGATAAAGGAGGAAAAATGTTTGTTGTTGATGAAGTTCCTTAAGTTGATCCAAGAACCAAATCTCTAATTTCTAGATTTATTACCATAGGGTATAAGAACGCTCGGTAAAGGTGTTTGCTTGCGATAAAACTCTCCGGACCAAATCATCAACTAAAAAAAGCCAAGAAACCTCAAGTTAGAAAAGGTTGTTTTGTTTCTTAGTCAAGTTACATGATTCTCGATGTAAATATAATTGATTGTTTACATTAATCAATTTAGATTAATTTTTTATATGTTAAGTTTACATAAAATGTTTTGTGTAAAGTCCGGACACTCAACAAGTAAATTAATTGTAGTTTCAAGAAAAAAACAAAAAATCCAAAAACACCTACAAGTTCTAACGAAGCGGTAAAAAGAAAAAAACTAAAATTAGAACTCAAGAAGTAGTGTTATTCATCCGTGTGATAGATGTACTTGACATTGTTGGTATGTTTTGTGAATTATATGACGTTTGGATTTTATACAAAATGAATTGTCTTGAAGTTATAACAAAATGGGTTGACGGAATTGATGGTTTGTATTTTATAAATGAAGTATGTGGTGTTTATCATATAATTATATTGTATGAATAAAGTTAAATTGTTGCCTAATAAGGAGTGTATTTTGTAAATTATTAATGGATGATTATTCAATTTGGTAATTGTTTTGTTTACATGTGTAAAATGAAAAAAAGTTTGGTCAAATTTGGCAAATTCATGTTTTGCTTTGAAATTTATTGCCAATATTCTATGTCTAAACTCGTAAAGATAAAGCAAAACAAAGTTTTTCCTCTTTCTTACATCCTATCCGATCTATATATACACTACTTATAACATTAAAGCCAAAACATTTAGACTTTACGTTTTGGTTTCAAGGTCAAACATTAAGGATTTCATGCTTTGGTTTCCCTTTTTCCTTACACCTTGCCTATATATACTAGATGGTTCTCGCAACAACTTCTTGCAGGTAGCAACTTACGAAAGAACTTCTTATAAACAACATTATGATATAAAATTTAAAATCATGCGTAGAAAATTACGAAACATAAAAACAATATGTCTTAAGTGATCAAGTGATAGAAAACAATATGCCATCGATAGAAATTCAACACAATTACGTAAACATAACACAATCAATTAACCATTGCAAAGTAATGTTATTTCATAAACTTCAATACAATTTACAAATAACCAACACAATTAAAATTAAACCCACTACTATTGTATAGGAATTCAACAAATTATTATTGTAATTACTTAATTTTTTTATTGTTAAAATCATATGTTCTTTCTCTCGTTTTTTTTGTGTTGCTATCTCAATCAACAATTCTTCTTTTTCCATCAAAATAGAATCCAACTAATTCTTCAACCTTCCAACCTTCGCAATTAAATTCGTTGTTTTCTTGGAACAAACAAAATTTTTTCTATATAAATCAAGCTTTGTCTATTTCCAATTCCCAAAACAATCAACCTAACTCTACCTTCTATAAAATCATATTTCCACATCCAATGACCACAATCAAAATTTTTTTATCACTATTGTGGAATCGCATACGACATGAATGAAACCTAGAACTCGAATGCTTGTCACTCCATGACATCCATCTCACAATCTTCAAGCCACAATTATGTACCATAGCATATTCTTCATAATTCAATTCAAGAGTATGTGGTGTAGCTACACAAATCAAACACATTTTGTCCGCAAATTTGTTGGTGATAATAGAGGATTGTGAATTGATTACATTACCAAATTTTTACACGTTGACGACGAAGATAATGAAGTAATCTAATTTAGAGTTTTCACAAAAAGACAATCAATTTGAAAATTTTAAGATTTTCATAAATTGTGGAGTTTTTTTTATGATAGATGAGATAAAAAGAAGACGAATGTTAGTTGTAATGGGTTGAAATTCGTTTTTTAAAGGAGATTCTCATAAACAGAGATGATAGAAAAAAAATAAAGAGAAAAAGAAAGAGACGAGGAAAAAAAATACAAGTTTCTTTTACAAGTTTAAGCTCTCTCTCTCTCGACTACAACAGGAGAGAGAAAATTCATATTTGTTTTTGTACTTAGTTTTTTTTTCCCTCTCTGAATATATATTCTGAAATTTTGGAGCTTTTTGCTTTATGTCACGTGAAATATTATTTGTAAACTGTCATACTACATGATCTTTTTCTTGCCATCTACGGTCACCAAATGAAAAATTGATCGGAATTCAGCAAGGACCACATTATAATAATAAAATTAAAGAATACGGACAAGAGTTAAATACAAAAAATACAAAAACCATATTAAGAAAATCGAAAGATTAAAAAGACGTCTGTACAGTTAAGCCAATTCAATTTACATGATTTATTACCTAACATACGACGCACACTTATTGAAGCATGTGCCAGTGGCTTCTACAATATAAAAGGACGAGCTTGGAATAAAACTTCAAAACTATTTTTAAGTTCCAGTATACTTTCTTTTACTAGATTGCATCAACTAACTTGTAACATTCTCCGTAACATCTAAAACTAAATTTCTCGCATTCGATGTTAACTTCGATTACAAATACAGAAAGAACCAACCAAAAGCTCTAAAATATTTTCGAGAAAATCAGAAAATGCGTTGTAAGCCGATTAACCAAGCCAAACCACGTAGTTATTAGGTTCCACCACCTCACAAAAAAAATTAAAAAAAAAAAAGAAAAAAAAAAGGAAAGATGCATCGCTATCAGGACAAAATCATCATCAACCAGCACGTCAGTTCCCACAACAAAGCAGCATTAACAAGTTTACAACAAAAGCTTCAGCCTTGCGAGTATCAATATACTTTAACAAGTTTGCAGGATCAAATAATACATCCGATACTTATTGGTCAGGGTGGACAATAATGTTTGTCTTGCAAATCTAATCCACGAGGCCGAAGACACATTAACCATAGGACAGCAGCGTCAATGGAAAGAAATGTTTTTTACAAATGAGAATATTTTTGTTCTTCAAATTTAATAACTCGCACTGATCTTTTTTAGCTTAACTTTAGCTTAAACAATTAAGCTTGACAGGAAAATCTGAGCCGACTTAATTTAACAGGAATTAGGCCAACCAGGAATCCATTATCCAGTCGGAATGGGCTTACATTTGCCCGAACAACATTGAAGCATGTGACGCAGAACACCCCCTTTACTTGTGGACCAGGTACTTCCAGCCAACAACCAGCCCCAAGCCATCGTAGTACTCGTTATTTTTCTTATATAAATGTTCGTTGTTGCAATGGAGTCAAGAAACTAGTAACATCACAAGTATTTGACCATTCCGCGACCTTCCACACTAAGCTTTGTAGCTTGCAATTGCTTCTTTTTCGGTCCCTTTAACTGCTGTAACTTTTTATTCATCTGCCAGTAACAATTGACATTTGAGTTTAGAAACATTAAAGTTGGGAGATCTGGGTATCTTTGAAACACAACCATGGGTGCATATGCACGCCAAAGAAAACTGCAAAGCCAAAAGAACATAGCACCATTGGACCTTTCCAAGAAGTCTCCTCCTTGGGAAGTAAAGATTATAGAGAATCATAATGCAAAGCAAAGTCAAATCAAACCTCAAGCAGCCATTAAAAAAAGAAAAAAAGGATAGAAAAGAACATTTTAGTTGACCTGGATTGTGTTGAAGGTTTTTTGGAACATATATATCTAGAACCATGAACCATGGTTAGTTAGTTAAAGGAGAAAGGATCTAGAGTGACTAATAAGAATCTATTAATTTGTCCCCAACAATGCTCCAGGAGAGACAAATTGAAATTGAAATCCGTCACCAATATCAAAGGGCAATGACATTCTAAAGGATAACTCCAAAACACCCTATAAGATGACAGGATCTAAGTAAAATGCTTGATTTTAGCTCAAATTCAAGAAACATTGTTCCATGAATAGTTCCAAATCAATGATGGACTATGAACATTGAGGTCATGCCATGTGATTAATCAAGTCACCACTCATTTTAAGCTTTTACTCAACACACCACTTCCTGTTAACTCTTAACCGATTCAATTATTTGCTCAATTTCACATATTGGAATGGAAAAACCAACCTTTAGACGACGCTGATCTTGAACCACTTGTTTAGCACGGGCCCTAACTTCTTCCGGATCAACCTTAGATTGGGGACGCACCACAAAATCCAATGGGGTCGCTTCTGGCCTGGATGCATGTTGTCTGTCTGATGATTGACTAGACCTCCGTTCCCTGATATTTTTGTTGATGTAAATTAAAGATTAGAATTGAGAAAAATAGCAAGTGGCAATTAAAAGCATAGAAGCAAACAGGCATATGATGTTGTTTAAGTAATCAGCAGAAAATATGAATGGAGCAATCAAGTGTCGTCCGTCACATCTCACAGTGAAATATCCAAGTCAAGATCTCCATCTCTAGATTCCATTCCAGCAGAATTATTTGCAGGCCTGAAATTCAAACAAAATTAGCACAAGAAAAATCATTCATTGTGCACACATGCAACTCACATGCAGATAGAACATCCAACAGTAATAAAAGATGGAAAAATGTGAAGAGAGAAATACCTTCTAACCGTTGGCCTTCTGAAAGCCCGATCATCGTCAACATTTCTCATGTCCTCAAACCTTGTGCTCTTATTAAATATTGGCCGACTCTATATTATTAGTTGCAGAAATGCAAGAAAATGTCAATACTTTAGATTCAAATTAAATTCTTTGTACACATATTTCCAGTTAATGAAATAAGTTCTTTCAGAAAAATAATACCAATAAGGAAATAAATTCAAGTTCTGTTTAATTTTATTATATAATTGAGATCAACACATGACAAGGGAATCAAATCTAAAAGAAAACAGGCATTTCAAGTCAGCTAGTATAACCAAACAGGAAAAGAAATCTACAATGGATGGACACTAGAAAAGGAGAGAGACTATCCATGAGCGCCATTCAAATATGATTTTCCAGTAAACAGATGCCAAAGATTTTGCAGTAAAAATATATTAAGGATAGGTAGAAGTGTTTAACAAATAAAAATCAACAGTTGAAAGGATATTCCATTACCCATTTATCAACCAAATCCTTAGCAAGTTTTCTGTTGGATGTGGTTTCCTCATCAGATTTTGATAAAAACATAATAACCTGCCAGGAAGTATATTAAATCAGTCTGAGTTTGGTTTCGGTTCCAACAGGAACAGAAAGTTTGTTACCACCACATAAGAAGATCCCTAACCTTTCCAAGACCGCTTTTCTTCAATTGTTCTCTTCTATCATACTGCTCCAGATCAATTGGAAACTGCATGAGAAAAGAAATATTTCAGGCCCCACATAATGTTTGTTCAGAAGCAATTACCAGTACCAAACAGGGAAGGATGATGCAAAGCATCAGCATACATCAGTCAAAATCCTCAAAATTGCAGCACGGATATTTATATTGGGTAAACTTCCATCTGGAAGGGGTTCTAGCCAATTTTTTAATAACGTTAGTACTCCATGATCTATGAACTCCTGTTGGAGCTGCTTCCTGCAACAAGGAAACAAACAATAAATAAACTGGAAACCAACCCCCCCCCCCCCCCCCCCCCCCAAAAAAAAAAAAAAAAAAAAGATTGTCTAAAACCAGCTTACTTTGAGAGAACCTCAGTAAGAAGCGGCAACTTCTTGAGTTTATTAACAGCAGGTTTCCCCTGCCTGTTGAGGTCTGCATCTTCTTCAGCAGTGACCTCAAGCTCAGCCATGACATTCTCGACTAATAATGCAATTTCTGCAGGACTTTTCTCATTCTTCTTCCTTTTCTTACCCATCTTGAAGAGGTCCTTGATTTCCTCATCCTCTTCACCTTCCTCTGCCTGGAAAAAAACAGAATAATAAACCAAGTAAAATAAAAGCTAGGGAGCTCCATATGCAGCACGTCAGCCAACAAACATAGATATTATCATAGAGTGAAAGTTGATCAAAATTTTGCAACATCAATTATGGAAATCTGACATGAAGAAAAGCAAAGCCTTCAAACACCACGAATCAAAAGCAATAGTGCATAAAGAAAAAACAAGTGGATAAGCCAGAAGGCTCATCAATAAAGCACTGCTTTTGGTGGTTTACAAGTACAAGTGAGAGTCAGGAAAAGAGATGGACTATTAACCTGAGGAGCATCAGTAGGAGAGTGTGGTTCATGTTCAGCGTCATACCGATCAGCAGGATCTACACCACTGTCATCTATGAAGTTGTCATCATCTATAGTCCTAGCACCTTCTTGATCATCCTATTCCAAAGGAAGTTCAAATATAGTTAGAAATTCAATAACAAACCAAAAACATTGTTACTTAAAGAAACCCAACACTTAAAACAACTTCATAAAACAGAATTTATTCTATAACATAGACTTAAAGATAGTCAAGCAACAGGAATCAGATCTGTAAAGTTAATTAACTACATGGTTGAACCTTGAGAATGGATCATTACAGAATTAAGTAAGACCAACAGCAAAACTTGCTAGATTACTAACATAATGTCATAAAAACAATAATGCAGAATCAAGTAAACAATTAGATCAACACTAAACTGTGATATCAATGGTATCCTAGAGGTAGATAAAGAAAGGTGCCTACCGATTTAAAGCCAATAACCTAAACTGACAAAATAACTAAATAAAACAACTATAAAATGATATCCAAAAAAAAGAAAAGAAAAGGAACAATTGAAAACACCATTTTCAACATTCACCCTCGCATGAACTTTCTAGTGTAAATATCAACTCATCTAGTACAAAAGTCCGTCCACTCAACTACTAGTAGCAGATATTGATCAATTACTTGCATGAACAATCCCATCCCAACAAAATTTAGTACTATAAATCAGAATGCAATGTCCAATAGAATACTGATTCAAACAATTAACAATTACCGACAACAAAAAACAAAGGTTAGCAACTACAAAATCAGCACCATAAACACTAAGCCCAGAAAATTTCAGCTCCACAAACCAAATTCACTCAATCTCTTATTCAAGTCAGTCAGAAAATCTCAATCAAGAACATAGACAAAAGTTAAAAACCAAACAACCATCAATTCAAAACTAAACACATCAAAGCACCAAAGAATTGGAAAAAAGAAATTCAATTCAAATCAAAACCTCAGAATCTCCACCAGCAATAGTATCCCACATCTCTTTAACTTCGCCATCATCCTTTCCAGCCACCAATTTCGTAGTTATTCCTTTTTTCAACCCCGGTTTCGACCCACTACTTCCTTTCCCTCCAAATTTCTTCTCCCCTCTACCAAACTTCTTCCTCTCCTTGTCCTTCGCAAATTTCTTGGTATACTTCCCATCTCCAACCGATCCTTCCCTCTCGAACCCTCCATAATCCTCCTCATAGTCATCAACCAACTCCGGCGGCACATAATTACTACTCCCACTCTCTTTCCCTGAATCGCCGCCTTTTTTAACTAATCTTTTTCGAGGTTTTCCTACTTTGTCCGTATCGTACACCGGAGTTTGTGACCTCTGTCTCTCCCAATTGTCAATATCATCTTCTAATTCGTCTAAAATACGATTCTGGTGTGGTTCCGGTGATTGTCCTCCGTCATCTGATTGAATCTCGTCGTAGTCCACCAACGGTTCTCCATCCTCGTCACGATACCTGACAAGAAAGTGCCGATTATTAGCATATCAGAAACCCTGATTTTCCCAATTAGGAATCGGTTAGCGAAACGGAAAAGAAAGCGATTGATTTTTTTAAAAAAAACAAAACCTAATTTTTTTAGATAGATTGATCGAAAAGAAAATGAATTAAAAGATTTGAGAGAGATAGAGAGTACGGATCGTCTTCATAACCCATGGTGATGTTTGGTTGTGGAAATTATGAGATTGATAGCGGAATTTATACTTCGGTGGAGAGGATGGGTTTTAATTGATCAGAGGCAGCAGCCTTCAGCAGCCACACGAAGGGGGAGATTTAGCAAAGAAAAGAAAAAGGGGGAAAAGAAAAGAGTAAACTATAGTTTAGCCCCTGTAGTTTTAGTAATGTTACTCTATGGTATTGTAGGTTAGAAGTTTTCAATATTTACGATTCAAAAAATAGTTTTACAAAAGCCACAAACATCATTCTTATATGTTATAACCAAATGCCCATTTTTTCCGACCTTCTTTTTATATGTTTTTTTTCCTTTTCATATCGAATGTGATTTTTTTTTCCCTTTTCAAAAAACTCATAAGTTGGTAAAAAAAATATATTTAAAGCTAAACAAAATGGTTTTAGATTTGTAATAGTGACTGCCAATCCTTTTTCAAAAAAAAAATTTCAAAACAGACAAGTTTTAGATTTTGTTTCCAAAATATTTGAATTCAAAAAACAAATCCGTGAATGATACCAGGCAATCGTTTTTTTTTTTTTTTTTCCCCTCCATCTCTCTTTTTATATATATATATATATATATATATATATTTTAACTTCCAAAACCTCGAAACTAACTAGAGCAAAGCGTTGCAATAAAAAATTCAATAAATTCGATCGCCCAATCAGTTTGAACTAACATCAAGGACTTGACATACAAAGGATCCGATTCAGCCCGATCGATACCAATCAAATATGGGAATTATCGGATTTTTGAGATTTATTCATTCAGTAAACTGGGCTAAGGCTTTGATTAACAGTACAGAGCAAGAAGTTTGGAATGGTGCTCTTTTGGGCTAGTCCAAAGTCAAACTTTAGCACAGAGGAACGTGGCCCAATTATAACCCGTAAGCTTAGTGGCCTCAGCCCATATACAGACAAGACCTAAAAGCCTTGAAGAAAGTAGGAAGTAGAAAGTCCAGACTTAAATGTGGCTAATCATTTTATTATTATTATTTGATTTTTTTTTTTATTCTGATAATGTATACTTATCTCTATGGAGTTTTTGGAATCACATCTCAAAATAAAAATTTTATAAACCTTCAAAATAAATTTTTCAATCAAACTGAAAAGATGTTAAATTTAAGAAGTTAGTAAAAAGGTGTTATTAGCACTTTTTTTTAAAAAAAATATTTAAAAGTAAGGATTATTTCCAAATCAATAAATCAATTGAGATTAATTAGGTTCTTTGATTGATTTTAAAGATCTATTTTCAGATGGATTTGGTGCATTAAATAAATTTGTTGATCATAAAATTCAAATTACAAAAAAAAAAAGCATAACCATCCACCAACTATAAAATGGGCAAAAAAAAAAAAAAAAATCAATCCCCCAATCCGTTGGTAAACAAATTCTTTCATTTTACCAGAGCCAAGCATAAGAAAGTTATGACGAATTTTACTATTAACGAAAGGTTAGATTTTTTTATTTGAAGTATTAAAAAGAAGTCAAAACCCAAGGGAGCGAGATGTCCCCTAAATCACCGTCCATCCCAATTTCACATCGTTCGGACCAACCAGCACCACATGATCACCATAAAAAATAACAAAATTCTTTACTGGTATACGAATTAATAAAAAGTAAAAAGGGAATTTTTGCCACACATATTGAAAAATCGAAAAAGAATTCGTTCTGTTGTTTTTTTCGTTCTTCTGAAACCAGCGACTATAGCACGACGACCCACAGCTTCTGGTCCGTGAACCCTCGACACCAAAACCCAAATCCGAACCCTAATTTTTCGATCCCTCTCTCACAAATTCGCATCAATTTATTCATCTGTACTAAAAAAAATCGAATAAATAAATATCTTTCCCACTATCTGCCCCAATCATTCTCAATTTGACATCTGTGTCCTCTACTGAAACCAGCTCACGTGTGATTTATTTTGGGCGATTAGTTTCCCTGATTTTAAGTGGATCAAGTTTCGATTTTTAGCTTGATTTCGAGGATTTCAACAAGCGGTAATTAAAATACTTTATTGTGTTTGCATGGGTTTTTATTTATTTTAGCTATTAATTTGCATGATTTAGCTGAATTACAAGACTGCATTTTTTTAGGGTTTTTGATTGATCAGTTTTTATTTGCAGATTGCCATTACCTGAAATTTGTTCCATGTTTATGGATTTGGTTAATTTGTATGGTTTATGTGTCCATCTCATTTTCTACCACATCTATAAATGACTAATTCATAATCTAGGGTTTCTTGAAATGAATTATAGTTTCTGCAAATAGTTTTGGTGTTCTGGATATGACAATAACTATGCTTAAAGCATGTCTGGTAATCTGTTTGTTTACTGAGAAGTCATAATCAATTGAAAGTTTGAAGCTTTGCTGTATTGAATATACTGTTGCTGTTGTTCTTTTTTTTCCTCTCCTCCTCCCCCCTCTCTCTCTCGCGCCTTGAAATTAAAAAATAACATGAAGGCACAAATCTGATTTTGATTATGCTTTATTTTTTCAGTTTTCTTTTTCTCTTTAATAATTTTAGTGAAATTGTAGTTGGAGTCAATTCATGGGTTTGTAAGGATGTGAATGATGGTGGTTATATTGTAGGATGGTTTGAGGAATTGTTGGAAGGGTATATGTAATAATGGGCAGCAGTGATATGGATAAAACAGGGAAAGAGAAGGAGGCCAAGACGCCATCTGCTGCTTCTACACAGGTCTACTTGCGTGCTTTGTTGAATTCCGTGTTTGTCATAAAATTTAAATTATTCTCATATGTTTTTCATTCCATTGCTGAACAAAATGTGTTATTTCTGTGCTCCTCAGGAGCAGCCTTCAACTGCCAATGCTGCCAATGTAAATCCTGACTGGTCCGGCTTTCAGGTTCTGTTAACAAAAAACTTTTTCTTGGTTACTTTTCAAAGACAATTCTCGTTTCATATTGTATCAGGCTTATTATACAGATTGGTTGTTTCTTCAACAGGCATATTCTCCTATACCTCCGCCTGGGTTCTTGGCATCAAGTCCCCAAGCTCACCCATATATGTGGGGGGTTCAGGTACTAAAGATTTTGTGTTGACATTTTCCAAGAAGTATGCATTAGTTGTTATTAAAACCTATTCATGTAAAACTATAATATCGCTAAATTTGGGCATTGTAAGAAAAGAAGTAGTCATCTGGTAGGAAATGGATAAGTTTAGTCAACTTTCTAATTATCTTAGTCTTGAGACGGATTGAGTTCTGTCAAGCAGCGGGCCATTTGGAAGATAAATGAGTTTACAGGTCAAATGAACGCCTATCATGTCCCCGCCTGTTTTGATGACCTTGAGACTGCTTGCACAACTGGTCTTGTTAAGTAGCATAGTCAATGGGCATTTTTTTTTCCCTTAATTTGAAGTAGAGGACATTGGTTGGACAACTTGCTCCAAAAACCTGCATGATTTTTCTATTGTACTAAGTGTGCTTCTAACTAAAATCCACTTTTCTTACGGGTGTCTTCAGCGAGTTCCTTTTAGCAGTTATGAAAGCAGCAGGGCATCATGGCTACTTCACTTACAGGACCTTTAGCTGACCTTCTTGTAGCTCCATTTTGATTTGAATGTAGGCTTGAAATTTTGATCTCTAGCTTGGCCAAAACAAGCCTAAATTAGCTGTTTAAATGATTAAATGCAACTCTAGGCAGCATGCTTTATAGTTCATTGAAATGCTATTATTTAGCAAGTGCTTTCTATGCCCATAGCCAAAAGATGTCATGGATTGTCTTTGGATCACATAAAAATATGTATCGTGTAATTACATGAAGCTGTCAGTAGTTTGCATGTTAATTTCATTGCGTCTTTTCAAGCGTATTTAAATCTCAGGAAATTTCAAGACCTTTCTTCAACTTCTGTAATTTCCTTTACCTTTTGGTTAGAAACCATCACAGTTCTCATGTAAGTTTTAAATTGCAGCACGTTATGCCTCCCTATGGTACCCCACCACATCCATATGTTGCAATGTATCCCCATGGTGTATATGCTCATCCATCCATTCCTCCGGTAATTTGTTTTCATTATACTTAAAGATTTTTGCTTTCAAATTGACGCCATAAAATCCGGCAAAATTTAATTTTCTTCTGAATTTATGTAGGGTGCTTATCCTTTTAGTCCTTTTGCAATGCCTTCTCCAAATGGTATCGCTGAGGTTTCTGTGAGTTTCCTATGCTAAGTTTCTTCAGGAATAATTGCAAATGACTGGGGCATGTCTTTGTCTTTAGGCCAACGTAAAATTTAACTTAAGTTTAAATGTTTGATGTAGGGAAACACTCCTGGCAGCATGGAAGCAGATGGTAGGCCATCTGATGTTAAGGAAAAATTACCTATTAAAAGATCTAAAGGAAGTTTGGGCAGTTTAAACATGATTACTGGGAAGAATAATGAGCATGGTAAAACATCGGGAGCATCTGCTAATGGAGTTTATTCTAAGAGGTAATGATGGATGTGTGTATAACATGCACTACTGTGACTTATGTTGGTCGATGAAGTTTTCTTGGTGTTTGTTGAAGCTATAAATGTTCTTGAGCTCTGCTTTGTGGCCCAAGTTTGTCCGTTTAGTGATGATTTGGTTTTGTTGGATGGAACTGAAAGAGTAGGGTACTGTCTCAAAATTTTTGTGACTGCTATGTCCTCATCATAACAAATTGTAGAAAGGCTCTCACTTTGGTCTCCACTCACTGCGTTAACTTATTATTGCTGCCATGACATTTTTCTGACTTCGGAATTAATCTTTATATGTAGTGCTGAGAGTGGTAGTGAAGGCTCAAGTGAAGGAAGTGACGCAAATTCTCAGAGTGTAAGTGCATTAAGATCAATTGTTTATTTTTCTATCCTAGTTTTATTAAATGCCCCATGTGATCGATTGGCATGCTTGGTGTCTTTCTTTTTGCGCCAACCACTTAAATGTAGATTTTGTGGTTAATTAACTTGTGCCTCCATCTTAATTCTTTTGCATTATCTGGATGATTGGACAAGAAAGTTATTTGGGCTGTATGCGTGACAGTATAAATGCTCTGGCGTAATACTACAGTTTTGCTCCTCAACCTCAAGTAGTTGTGGAGCAATATTGCCACTAATAACACAGTGGTGTCGTTGTTTAGAATGGAATTTGTGATCATAATGTTAATTGTCAGTACCTGTTATTTTTTCTTCTCTCATGTAGGAATACATATAACTGGCTGATGATCACGTCTTTGGGGACAATTATTCCTTGTGTTAAATGTTGTGGGCACAGTTGATTTGTGTAGAAGCCAGTATTGTACTTCAAAAAATTCTTTTTGCATGCTGCTTCTGCGACCTTTGAATCGCCACACTGAAAATCACTCGGACGAGTAATCTTGTTCTGGTTGCTTATCCTTGTTAATTCCCACAAAAAAATGAACTTTTTATAATTTTGTATATAAAGTGCTAACTACAAGATGCCAAAAGGGAGGGAAAAAAAAATTGCTGTCTTTAAACTTGTGAATGGTTGCTCTATCACTAGGACCCCATTGTATGAGAGGGATAGTTGATGTTTTAGCTCTGAACATGAATTTGTCCCAATATATCAAGATTACCTAGTTTGAGTCTGTAGCATTGATTATGGTTTCCCTGGTGATGGTGTCTCTTATTGACAAAGGTTCTGGAATTAACCTTTGTTAAGTCATTAGGTTCCTGTGGACTTTGTTGATTTTGTTGTATTTAACATTGGTCATGGTTTGTTTTAACGTTTCTAGAAATTGGGGGGGAGAGAGAGGGATTGCCTTGGTTGGTGAAGCATTATGTGAATGAGTCCTACCCAATTTTCAAGCATTCTGGAGTTTGAGGACCACCTTACTTCTCGAGAAGAGCTTCATGAAGTTTCATAAATATAGGCATATTGTAAAAGTAGCATGCTATTTGTCCCGAATTGCCTTGGCATGTGAAGCTTTGGCCAGATGAGACCCTGCTCAAGCTTCAAGCATTTTGGTGTTCAAGGACCACCTTACTCAATAAAAGCTTCATAAAATTTTCTTAAATGTTTGCCTATTCCAAATCCATTTATCCCAAACGAAATTTTTGTGCCTGCCGTCATTGATGCTCTGCTTATCCCAAATAAATTTTTTACACCTGCTATACATCATCATATGGACAAGGTTTTTTATGTTTGGGGAACTTTTTTTTTATTTGTATGCTTCTTATAATAGCATTTTAACACACTTCATTTTCCTTTACTTTTGTAGGACTCGCAAATGAAGTCAGGTGGCAGGCAAGATTCTCTGGAAGGTTTGATTATGATTATATTTTTTAGTGAAGTCATCATACTGAGTGTTACATATTTATTGATAAAGAATTTTATTACAACAGACACATCTCAAAATGGTGGTTCTTCACATGGTGCTCAGAATGGAGGACAGGGTGCATCTAATACAATCATGAATCAAACAATGGCTGTCATGCCAATATCTGCTGCCAATGCTTCTGGAGCCATACCTGGTCCCACAACCAACTTAAATATTGGAATGGACTATTGGGGAGCCCCTGCTTCATCTACTGTTCCTGCAATTCGAGGGAAGGTTCCTTCTACTCCAGTTGCTGGAGGGATAGTTACTACTGGATCACGAGATGGTGTTCAGTCACAGCTTTGGTTACAGGTTAATTTTAGTCCTCAAATTGTTGGTTTCAAATTGATGGAAATACTTTACTTTGAAGTTTGCACCAATTAACTCTTATATCATGATCCAGCATAGCATTTCAAGTGAGCTTTTCTTATGTTTTCATACAAAAATTGGATTTGTTGGATTTATTCTTCTTGCAATGCTTGATAGTGATATTCTAGATGTTCTTCTATGAAGCAATTCAGTTTTATGATCTGCATTGTTTAAATCTTGTTTCTGCTTTCCAATTGAGCTGTCTCAAACTAAACGATGAATTTAGTCTTTCTTTTCAAATCATGTCCAATTTTGAAGGGAGTAGATCCTATAGGATCCTATCCCAATTTTTCTTTTGCTAGGCCCATAGTCAAAAAACCTAGACAAGATATGCCTTATTTGCAACATGGAGGACTTGTTGATATGGTCTTCAAACCACAACTTTTGAGGTGAAACTTTGAATTATCAATTGTTGGACATAGTTATTGGATTTAGAGAAAATTAATTCTTTATAATCTTTGTTAGAGATCTGAATCAGACCTAAGTAGAATGATGTGGATTGTTTTGCTAGTAGCCAGAAGTTTGTCATACTTCTTTTGTATTTTCTACTATTTCATATATAAATCTCCACACCTCTTCTTTTTCTGGCTGTAGGATGAAAGAGAGCTTAAGAGACAGAGAAGGAAGCAGTCAAACAGAGAATCCGCTCGCCGGTCCAGGTTGCGTAAACAGGTATTAAAGTGTTCCTTAATATCTGATAATTTAGTCTGGCTATGTTGAGCTACATGCCCCGACATCAATTCATTGGGTTGCATGCATGCTTTTGAGTCAGGCTGAATGTGATGAGCTGGCCCAACGTGCTGAAGCCTTAAAAGAAGAAAATGCCAATCTCAGATCAGAAGTAAATCGGATCAAGAGTGAGTACGAGCAACTTCTTGCAGAGAATGCCTCTCTTAAGGTGATGTTTTAATCTTTTGATCTGATTTGTTGAATTTTGGCTTCTTTTATCTCAGTCAGTCATAACATAAATATCCTGCACGTGGCATATAATGAAGTTTAACCTATTGCAAGGCATAGTCTCTGAAAAGAGACTTAACAACCATAGCTACAATTTATGAACATCGATTTCACAAGTTGGAAAATAAACACAGAGGAAAGTTGTTTGGGTGGGTAGACAATTAAGTGGCATATTAACCGGACTGTGGGAATTTTTCCATGAATTTCAAATATTGAACCAAAAATACTTTCCAGATAATTGCATCATAATTCATAAGTACACTAATATTTAATTTTTTTTTCAATTAAATACACAGATTTTGTTAGTTATTTATTTATTTTAGTGCACTAATTTTTCTAAGATTATCAATCAAGTATTTGGTCAAACTTCTGTCAATTGCTCTGTTATTTGATGATGTATTCGTTTCTCTAGAATGTAAATTATGATTTTGCCCTTTCTTTCTCGGAAAAAAATAAGAAGGAAAAAAAATTAAGCTTCTTTTTTTCATTTCTATTTTTTTAATAAATAGCAAAATAATTTAAGAGGAAAAGAAGAAAGGGCAAATTTATAATTAGTATTTTAGAGCAAATAACACGTCATTAGATAAAGAAACAATTGACAGAAGTTGCATGAAAATATCAGTTGTACTCAAGTAAAAAAAATAAAAATTAAAGTCATGAAAAGTTAAAAGTTAAGTGTACTAATGGTTCAATTATTCCAAATGCTTACTATTGGGACTCGAGTACGAGTAGGCTGTTGGTTGATGATGATGAGCACTTTTTACAAATGACACATGGGAAGTAAAATCATTTAATGCTAATTTCGGATCAATTTTGAATGGCTTTGAGATGAACACTAATTCATTAGCCACCTTAGCAACCAAAACTGTGCTTGTATAAAGTGGTCCTCTGATACCATTTCGGTCTTTTATTGCAGGAGAGGCTCGGGGAAGTTTCTGGACAAGAAGATTTTAGGGCTGGCAGGAATGACCAACATATGAGCAACGATACACAACAGACTGGACAAACATAGCTTCTTCGGGGTGGTCTCTAGGATCTAGGTACCCTGTTTTCATGCGGCTTTCAAGGAGCATAACCTAACCAATTAGCAACAGGAGTTTCTTCATATTTTGCATAGCGTGTAGTTTGGATTTTATCGAAGCTGACCTTTATACTGTTAGGATCCCTTCATCTCATATCATCCTAAAATTTCTATTGGGTCCATCTGTAACTGTTGGAGACCTAGGATGCTATGCAGAGTGAAATTTGTGTTATACCCTGTTTTAAGAGGGCAGTACCCACACTTTTCTTACGTTGATCTGTATTTAAAAACATGGTTGAGGATGGTGTTAATTTGTTAAATGAACAATGCTATATTCTATATAAATCCCTGAATAGTGGCCTGGTCCCTCTGTTTTGCTGCCCGGGAGCTTCTGTTTGCACTTCTAATTTGAAACCTTAAATTGATTCTCGCTTATTTTGTGAGGGATATAATATGTTTATTTTGTGGTAAAGAGATGACACCAAACTTGTCATGTTATCTCACTTCTCGTTGATTGTAGGAATATGATGAACGGCGACAATCGACCAAGAGATCATCAACTTCTTCTCAAGTTATTAATTTATTCCATGCTACATTTGCTGGGATTAGTGAAGTCCCTTATTTTTCAAGATTAACGAAAGGTTCGACCGAGTAAATATTGCTTTTTCTTAATGTTCAGAAAAAGTGAAATAGGAAGTTTTACTGCTGTTGTTTTGGTGTTGGGGGGGGGTTGTGTGGGGGTGTGGGGGGGTGTTTGGATTTTGAAAATGTGAGTTTGTTTGTTAACATGGCATCATTGAAAACAGAAGTACATTATAAATTAGTTCATAAATTAAATAATCTTTTTAATTTAAAAAAAACTAATGAATTAGTTATTTTCCTTCATTTTATGTTATTCTTCAATTTATTTCGGATTTTTGTTTCAAGAAATAAAAAATATAAAAAATAAATAGATGTTATGAAAACTTGATGAGAAAAAAATTATCTATTTGAAATAAATTAATATTAAATTAAATATCATCGATATCAGTTAAAAAATTAGTTAATTAGTTTCTAAAACTAAAAGAAATATATAATTCATTCTGAAAACTAGAAGGATTAATTTATAATTTACTCGGAAGAACACCGGCAGGCATGTATCTTACAATCATTTTAATTCCCTAACTTGCGTGGTTGGAGGTAATGAAGTGAATCTGTTCTGCTTTTATCTTTTGATTCTCGATTGAGCATGTTATGATTTATTTTCATTTACTCTTTATGTTGCACATTCTGACTCAATGAGTATGGTTATGATGTATAAAAAAAAAAAAAAAACCATATATTAGATTTTATTTAAAATTAACTATGCATCTTTACTCAAAGTACCAACCATTTAGTATTTTTTTATATTTTAAAATTAATTTTTTTCAAATAAAATAATTGAAATAATATTTTAGAAGAATTGTCTAATAATTTAAATATAATTCGTATACTAATATTATTCATTATTTTGTAAATAACTATATATAAATCAAATATGCATGTTTTCAAAAAAAGAAAAAAATCAATTGTAACGTTATAAAAAATCAATCGCTATTTTTTTCTTTGGTTTTTCCACCAATTTATGTGTTTTTATTTATTTATTGAATTAGATATAAAAATTATGAAAAACCCAATCATTATTTTTTTCTTCACACAAGCTGACAATCATATATATATGATCTCTTCAATCTTTTGTTTCTTATCAAAATTATCATCAAATTAATTTTTTATTCTTTTTGTGTAATTTTATTTGTTAATAATTATGATCTATTTTCTCTTACGCATAGATTTTCAAATCAGTTTTTTTTTTTTTTGTAGTTTTTATTTGCTTATTTTTTATATAATTAATTTTTTAAAATAGAATTCACATTTTTTTGTTTATTTATTATTTATATAATCAAATTTTATCAAAATTAATTTTGTATTTTTTTATTGCATTCTACTAAGTTCAATATATTTTTTACAACCCTTTAAAAAAAAAAAAACAATTTCAAGTTATGTTACACGCTCGACCCAATGAGTATGAGTATGATGCGAAAAAAATATATATATTAGAGTTATTGATTTTATTAAAAATTAATTGTGGATCTTCACTCACAATACTAACCATTTATTTTTTTATATTTTAAAATTAATTTTTTTCAAATAAAATAATTGAAATAATGTTTTAAAAGAACTATCTAATAATTCAAATATAATTTTTTATACTAATATCATTTATTATTTTGTAAATAAATATATATAAATCAAATGTGCATGTTTTCAAAAAAAAAAAAAAATCAATCTTTTTTCTCTCACTTTTTTTCTTTTGTTTTTTCCACCGGTTTATGTTTTTTTTTTTTTTATTGAATTGAGTGTGAAAATTAGGGAAAAAAATCATTATTTTTTTCTTCATACAAGCCGACGATTATAAAATGCATATGATATGTTTTTGAATATATATATATATATATATATATATATTATTTAAAACTAATCTCTTCAATCTTCCTTTTCGTATAAAAATTATCATCAAATTAATTTTTTATTCTTTTTTATGTAATTTTATTTGTTAGTAAATATGGTTATTTTCTCTTATGCATGGATTTTCAAATAAGTTATTTATTTATTTTTTTTTTTTGTAGTTGCATTTATTTGCTTATTTTTTATATAATTAATTTTTAAAAACATAATTCACATGTTTTATTTACTTATTCTTTACGTAATCAAATTTTATCAAAATTAATTTTGTAGTTTTTTTTGTTGCATTCTACTATAAACTACAAAATTTATTTAAAAATAAACAAAAAAATAGATGCAAAATTTTGATTAAAAATTATAAAATTGGATTGAATTTTATCTTTTATTTAATATATTTTTGCTATAGACAATATATTATATATTATAAAAAAAATGAATATGTTCATTTCAATCTGTAATATAACATGGGAAGACAACTATACCAATCTAATCTAAGATATGGATGATACCCTTTTCCTAAAATTCTGCCCTGCTTAAGTCCTAGTAGAAATGAATTTTGAAGCATACTAGCATAATAGCTGGGCATTTCTGCAAGTAAATCTATTGTATATTATATTTTAAATAATTAAAAAATATAGGCATAAAATAAAAATTTAAACACTAATTGTGAAAAATCGTTTATTTTAATATGTAGATGATTCTTCACAAAAATAAAAAAAGCAGGTGAAAAAAATATTTTGAGTAAATAATAAAAAAAGAAAAAAAGAAAAAAGAAGAAAAGGTTAGGTTGGGCTGACATCAAGCCTTTCCGTATTGGTCTGGAGAAAACCAAGCCCACGCATATAGGCCATAAGCTCAGCCCAGAAAAAAAAATACAAAGACTTTGTTGCAACAATAATTAAAGTTGGAGAATGTTTTGTATAAAATAATAACTTGAAAGATTAAAGTATAAAAAATTAAATAAATTGACAAAATAAACTCGTTTTTTTTTTTTTAACGACATCTTTTCAAATAAAACATAGTAAAAAGAAAAAATGCGTTTTTGATTTTACTATAGCAGGATTTAGTTATAATAAAATCCATTCAGTTTTAACACATGTATTAATATGCATAATATAAAAGGATTTAGATTTTTTGTCGGAAACCTTGTAAAATATCTAATTTTGAAATAAAATAAAATAAAAATAAAACATCGTTCCCCTTGGGTGGTTAGCCATTGTTAGAGAAAAATAAAAGGTGAAAAAAAGGGGAAAGCAGAAACCACTGAAAATATCCAAACCCGATGTGAAACAGAGAAAGCTGATTCAACAACCACTTCTCTTCACTGTCATCGTTTCTCACACTCTCTCTCTCTGTCCTGTCAACATTTTCACCGAAAGCAAAGAAGAAGAAATAAAATATGCAGCAGATAAGAGGAGGATCAGTGAGCGAAGTGTTGGTGACTATCCCTTCAACAACTGGAGGAGGCTTCAAGTCTCCTCAACTACTTGGCCACCACTTCAATTCTCTATCCTTGCTCTCTCCTCCTTTCCAGCTTAACAAAGTAACTATTACAACTCTCTCTCTCTCTCTCTCTCCCTTGTTGTTTGTATTTGCATATTCTTGATGGTTATGCTTTTCAAGTTGTAATAATAGGAGGGAAACGAGTGTTTGTCTCAGTTTGTGTGATTGCTGGTTTCTTTCTAAAATTGTTCTTCTTGATCATTGATATGCTTGCTGTTCTTCTGTTGATAATAAAGTTATTAATGTTTTTCTTATGTTGGGTTCTTCTTCAATTCAATGGAATACCGGTCTGTAAATTTGGAATGCTTGATATTTGGTCTTACATGATCTTTTCTCTTCTAGAGATGCCCTTCTTTTGGCATTCCGAAGCTAGGAACCGGTGTGTATAAGTGCCGATCAAGAGGCTTGACTGTGAGAGCGTCAGGGGATTCAGGTGGTAATTCGGTTCCAGTTTCTCCTCTTGAATTTGAGTCCCCAGTGGGCCAGCTTTTGGCACAAATATTGCAAACCCATCCACATTTACTCCCTGCTGCCATTGATCAGCAACTTGAGAACCTTCAAACTGATAGAGATGCCCAGAACGAAGAAGCTGCGTCATCTCAAGATCTCCTTTACAAGTTAGTGCTTTCAACTTTCTCTGATTTTAGCACTATTCAAGTTGAGATTGATTTCGTTTTTATATTTTGTCACGGCGATGCTGTCGAGAAATAGAATATTTTGATTTTATTTCTGTTCTTTGATTCTAATCGTTTGACCGTACAATGGTCACTGGTGGCATGAACGACATTCATGAATGCCCTTTCCTTAACTTGCACCTCTAATTAAAGCGCTTCATCATGCACTTCTCAATGGACCTTGTGACCGATCCAGAGTGCTACTTGATAACATATGTTTAGAAAAGCCCTATACAGACTTATTGAGAAAAAGAAAAATCTGACATGGAGTGGTATAGCGTAGACATCTAGCTCACGTTTGGCAAATATGTTCATTTCATCCAACGCTTAAAGAACAGAGAGGTATAATTGTTGTTTGCTTGAGTTTCAATTTTTCATAAAGAGTGCTTTGATATTTCCAAGCTCATATCTTCCATATTTGCCAATTGAATGCTGATCATTCACTGGCTGCAATACAACAACTAATGTGACTAATCCTTGGATTTTTAGGAGAATAGCCGAAGTCAAGGAGAAAGAAAGGAAAAAGGCACTGGAGGAGATCATATACTCCATGATTGTACAGAAATTTTTAGACCGTGGCATTTCAATGATCCCAAAGATATCGCCAACATCAGATCCCACTGGACGAGTGGATTTTTGGCCAAACCAGGAACACAAATTTGAATCTGTTCATTCCCCTGAAGCCTTTGAAATGATACAGAGCCACTTGTCTATTGTACTAGGAGAACGAATTGTGGGCCCCCTTGAGACCATTGTTGAAATTAGCAAAATCAAACTTGGAAAGTTATATGCTGCTTCTATTATGTATGGATATTTCCTCAGAAGAGTTGATCAGAGATATCAGCTCGAGAGAACCATGAATAGCCTTCCCAAGGGATTTGATGAAGACCGGGCAAGATTTGAAGATCCAAGTCCAATGAACCGACTTTGGGATCCAGATTCTTTGATAAGGATTCTGCCAGATGATAGTGGCGATCCTGATGGAGGGGTCATGGATACTGGTGAAGAAAAATCATATAGACTTAGATCTTATGTAATGTATTTAGATGCGGAGACACTGCAAAGATATGCAACTATAAGATCCAAGGAAGCTATTTCTTTGATTGAAAAGCAAACTCAAGCACTATTTGGGAGGCCAGACATAAGGATTGCTGAGGATGGTTCCATTGAGACGGCTAACGATGAAGTTGTTTCGATCACATTCTCTGGACTCACAATGCTAGTCTTGGAGGCGGTAGCTTTTGGAACTTTCCTATGGGATGCAGAAAGCTATGTTGAATCAAAATTCCATTTTTTTAACAGCTGAAAAAAACAAGGTTTGTTTAGTTAGCTTTTGTTGCTCTCTGCAGATGTATAAATTACAATGCAAGGTCTTTTTCTTGGTGTCTGTGGGTACATAGCAGTGAGATAGATGGTAAAGCATGATGCAGGAGCTGGTAAATACAAAAAAAAAACCTTCTTTTTAATACCAAGATAACAATGTTTAAACAAGGAATGAAAGCTGCAAGAAATGCAGGTCTGAGCCTGACAACTTTTCATCCCTGCTACTTTTAGAAATGACTCAAATGTTATCATTCATTCCCCATCATGCATTTTGCTTATGATTTTCCATTGTATCTGCTGTCTGCGTACTTTTAAAGATCTTCAAAGCAGGTGATACTGTGGAAACCCAAGAAACAGATTATGAAGTGGCATAAAAATGTTTATATTCCAAAGATTTCACTGTCCAACTCTCCAAAGATATGACTCATGCTCTAGGTTTACTTTAATTTATAATCTCTAATTAATTATCTGGCTTTCTAGAAATTTTGACTTGGCAAAGCCATGGCTTCTTTCATTTCCTTGTGAGTTGTCACATTACAATCTAATCTTATCTTTTGTTTTTGTTTTTTGTTTATCTCGTGAAAGTTCTGTTGGTCCTCTTGTCCTATATGCCACCATCAAATACATCTCCGTTTACATTTCTCCTTTCACTAAACTGATCTTTGATTTTGACATAATAAATTCCACGAGTATTACACTAGAAGAAGGCAGAGGAAGAGGATCCTAAAAAAAAATAATCTTCAGAATTTTAATTAATACCGTTTTGGCTCAAAGAGGCTTCTTCTGGAATTGTTATCATATTAACAAGGCCAGCATTCTCTTCATTATAGTCATAACATATAAAATTATAAATTAAGAGAAAACAACATCAGACACGTCCAAGGGGATGTAGCTCAGATGGTAGAGCGCTCGCTTAGCATGCGAGAGGTACGGGGATCGATACCCCGCATCTCCATTTTTTTTGCCCTTTTACCAGAAAATACAAACAGCAGCCTTCTGAGGCCATGTTAATGGAACACAATTGAGAAAGAGCAGCTCGGTTTGTAGACTTTACAAAATAAGGGAGAAATTTTATAATATTAAAAAAATAATTAATATAAGTTATTATATATAAAAAGGTAGATATAAAAATTAAACAAAAAAGAGAAAAATAAAAAAAATTAAATTAAGGTGAAAATCTTTCTATTATTTTTTATGAATTCAAATATAATTTTTTTATGTGTCTATTATTCTTTAAAAATAAATTCATAATATACATATATATATATATATATATATATATATATATATAATTTATCTTCGGATATTATTGCAAGTTGGCTTAATTGAGGAGACTTCCTCATAATCCCCGTACAAACGCGCAAAAAACGTGGTTTTACTTCTTGAGCCCGCTTTATAAGACTAAGAAAACTTGCCCATTGCAATTGCTTTTTTCCTTTTTTTATTAATTATTATTATTATTGTATGTGTTGTTTTTGAGATTACGAGTGTCCAATAAATTGAATTTGGATAAGTATTTTTATGGTATGCTAAGGTAGACGGACTGGAATTAATTTGGGGTCCATAATCTCCAGTTATGCTTAGCAGAGGAGCTTTTATTTACTACTCATGTCAAAGCTGAAATCGAACCATCCTTATTTGACGAAGTCCGAAACTCAAAAAGCTCAAGCAATTGAGAGAAATTTTCGCTAGTTTATTTAATAATCAAAATAATATTGTCTTTTCAAATTACATAAAAATATTTAAATAATAAAGAAATAAGTCGGGAATCTAAAATATATCCCTAAATCATTCAGCCACAATAAACTAAACCAGTTCGAACATAATTTGTCTTGGAAAACATTGTTTTGGCATGCGAGAAATTGCAGTCGCAAAAGTTGTATTTTTCATTTCCTTATGTCAAAGAAGTTAATTAGTCATTACTTTATACTAAAACCTAAAGTAAAACAATTGATTTTACTATTTAAAATACTATTCACACACTCACAAATTACTATTACTTTTACTATTTATAGAATTTTTTTAACACTTTAGTCCTCAAAGTTTTTATATATTTTTTTTAATTTCAAACTTTAATTGTATTGTGATTTTTTCTCATTTTGTTTTAGTGTTTTTAGTTAAATATTTTTTATTTAATATTTACTACTTTAATTTGTAATTTTTTTAAATTTGCTTCTTCTTTTTTTTAATTTCAAACTTTAATTATATTGTGATTTGGTCTTATTTTGTTTTAGTGTTTTTTGTTAATTATTTTTATTATTTAAAATTTTTTACTTTAATTTATCTTTTTTAAATTCTCATCTAATTAATTTAAAATTATATGCTCCTCAATTTTTCTCTATATTGTTTTTTCAATTTCAAACTTTAATTATATTGTGATTTGCTTCCATTTTGTTTTAGTGTTTTTTTTTTAATTATTTTTATCATTTAAAATTTACTACTTGAATTTGTCATTTTTTCTAAATTCTCATTCAATCAATTTAAAATTATATTTACTGACATTTTTTATTTATTTTTCTATATGTATGGATTTTGGAATAAATTTTTATAACATAATTATTTTTTTTGAAAAATAAGTTTAGATAATTTTTAAATTATAGTAGCATGATTGATATATATTATTTTTCTGAAATGCAAATAATTAAATCAAAATTTTTTATTAAAAATTATAATTTTTTTTCACTTTTGATTTCATGTATTTTTATATATTAACACCATAAAATAAACTATCAAAATAAAATGATTTTTTGAAATAATTTTATATATTTTATTCAACTCGTAGCATAGGACGGGCAAAAAAACTTGTATAAAATAAAATGCGTTAGCTTTTTCAATAGTAAAGTATTGTTGTTAAAATGTCCACTTGTTGTTCACTTTTTTTTTCATCCCTTTTGTTTTTTGTGGATTCGGTTACTGTTCACATCTTCCTTTTTGCTTTTTTTCTTTTCCTTTCCATCAATACCACTTCATGCTAGATTGATTTAAAAAGCCATGTGGTATAATTTTTTTTCCTGAAATTTAAGTATCTAAAAATTAATATGTTAATTTTTAATTTCATATTTTTTAAATTATTTTTATTGTAAATTGATTTTTTTTTTTTAGATTTTCATCTATTTTGACACTAAAAGCATACATAACTTGTCCGTGATTGACTTCTTAAATTTTCAAATATTTAAAAATATGTCAAAAATTAGAATTGTTTTCTTGATTTTTTTAAATATTTTTTAATTTCTTTTTAGTATTTAGGACAAAAAATTTAAAAATAAAATATCCGTAAATTTTTATACAATCTTAGAAACCGAGAAATTACACTTATTGGTTAAAGTTAAAAAAATATAATAAAATAGCATAATTTCAAATAAAAATAATTTAAAAAATTCAATTTGAAAATTAAATTGAAAAATTTATTCTCAAATAATTAAAAATTAATGAAAAGTTTTAACGAGTTTATAAAAAACACAAAAACAAAATGAATTTTTACTATTCATAATATTATTTACACACTCACAAATCATTATTCATATACTCACAAATCACTATTTCTTTCACTATTCATGACTTTTTTTGATGTTGGTCCTTAATTTTTCTATATACTCACAAATCACCATTCACATACTCACAAATCATTATTTCTTTTACTATTCATGATATTTTTTTAATACTTTAGTCCTTAATTTTTCTATATATATATATATATATATAGAAAAATTAAGGACCAAAGTATATAAAAAAATATGTGTGTGTGTGTGTGTGTGTATAGAAAAATTAAGTACCAAAGTATATAAAAAAATGCTATGAATAATGAAAGGAATAATGATCCGTGAGTATGTGAATAGTGTGTGTATATACATTTTAATGTCAAACTTCAATTATATTGTGATTTGATTCCATTTTGTTTTAGTGTTTTTTATTAATAACCTGTATTATTTAAAATTTACTACTTTAGTTTGTTATTTTTTTAAAAAAATTCTCATTAAATTAATTTAAAATTTTATTTATCGACAATTCTGATTTATTTTTCTATATATATGGATTTTGGAATAAATTTTTTAGAACATGATTATTTTTTTTGAAAAATAGATTGATATAATTTTTAAATTATAGTGGCATGATTAATATATATCATTTGTCTAAAATATATTTTTAGATTAAAAGTGTATTTCAAATAATTTTTTCTCAATTTTTTTAGAAAAACCTCAAATTAGTTAATTAATAATTGAAAGTCAAATGTAAAAAAAAAAAGATGATTGCTCTACGTGTGAGGCTTATATTCAAGAACTAGCCATGTATAGCATAAAAATAAAAAATTATTTAAGAAGCAAGAAAAAAGGAAAAAGAATTCACGTGTTTTATTTGTTTCTTCTTTATATAATCAAAATTTATCGAAATCAATTTTGTAATAATTTTTATTTTAGTAGATTAATTTCAAATTTAGTCAATATATTCCTTGTAAGTTAATTTTTTTTTATAGTGTTTTTTGTTTTATGATGAATACTCTGAATCCACTTAATATAGTTATGATGTATAAAAAAATATTGAATCGTTTTTTTTTTTTTTTTTTTTTTTTTTTTTTTTTAAATTAACTATGCAACTACTACTACACTAAGCATTTACTATTTATTTATTTATTTTTGAATATTTTAAAATTAATTTATTTTAAATTAAATAATTAAAATTATTTTTTGGCTTAACCTCTTAATGATTCAAATTAATATATTTTTTATTTTAATATTATTTATTTTTTTGTGAATAAATATATAAAAATTAAATTTACATTTTTTCAAAAATCGATATTCTCATCAACATTAAATAAAAATAATAAAATAATTTTTTTATTTGTTCAATTCTATATAATTTTTTATTAATTGTTATTTTAGTTTTTTAACACAATCTTATAACCTACTAAAGCTTTTTTAAAATTTTTATTCAATTTTTTTAGTTAATAATCCATGAATTAACAAGAATAAATCCTTTTTCTAGCAG